AACCAACCAACACAATAAAAATTCGTCTTTCTCGTACAAAATACTCAATCAACAAAACCAATAACTGTGAAACAACCAACAATAAGATCGGAAAACACAAATAACCAAAAGAAGATAGATGAAAACAACCTTTTTTGGAGATCAAAACGATTGAACTTTATATTTCCCACACACAAAAAAAAAGAAGAAAACAGGTCAAACCGCAAATGCAGATCGAAGATAACAATAAACAAGCAAAAGAATTCAAACAATCACCTCTTTTTTCCCGAGATTGGACTCAGCTATTACCCGCCTTCACACCGTTAAGCTGGTTCAAAAAAGCAAAAGGAAGACCCACAAATACGGACAGGGAGGGATGGAAATGAAAAAGATGAAATGAGAAAATTAAACTCTACCTCCGAAATGAAATGCGCCTTAAATGCACAGTAAATTCGGTCTCGGGCTTTCTAATTTCAGGCCATTTGCGTACTAAATCAACGGTCCTGGCGACGCGTCATACTGATCTGGCGGCTCTTGTGGATCCAGCCGGCATTAGGCTTTCCGGTTTTACGGTGGGGCCTCTCACAACCACGAGATCTGGGTGGTGGAATCATTTCATTCGGTCTGATCCGTATTATATCATATCATATCCATTTGGTCCAAAGCCCGCCCAAAATGAGAGGGTGATTGAAATTATTATAACATGTGTATATATATATATATATGTTGTAGGATAACTTTTATTCAAAAATAATTAGGTAAATTTGGAATTAATTTATATATTTTGAAGGCAAATTTTAATAACCTATACAAAAAAATAAATACTAGTAAATTTAATAACTTAATAAGTACATTATTTTTTATGTCGTCAAACACAAAAATTTAGAGTAAATTACTTAAATGAAATGAATTTAATTATATTTATTTAAAAACTACGAAAATTTATTTTAAAATTATATCATATAAATATATATATATATATATGTATGTATATATTGTATAAGTTCAAAGTAAGAGAGAGTGTTTGAACTTTATTTTTAATAGAAATGCGAGTAGGTACACGATATATTTCTCCTTTCCATATTTCAACTCCACGTTAAAAATAAAAAGCGCTTTCAATGGCGGTTGATGAAATCCACAACTGCATTAACAAGCTTGGTGGTCTGAGCGCCGGTATCCGGATCCAAATCCACGGCGATCTTATTGAGATAAAAGCTGTGACCCATTCCGCCATTAATCACCAGCTCCACCTCTTTCTTTGCCTTGTTCATCGCCTCGTAGTATTCCATCTCTGTGTCTCTTATCAAATCGTTCTCCGCTACGCACAGCAGCAGAGGCGGCAGTTTCAGTCCCTCCAGCTCCTCACTTCCGCCGTCCGATCCCATCGGACACGTGATCGGATGATCTTTGGTCGACCCCACCGGCAGAGCCAGCGCCAAAAACTTATCCACCATGTCTAGAGTTAGCAAAGGTGACTGCTTTTCCTCCAACTCCGATTTGCTCCGTCTCGACCGGACAAAACCGGGATGGATCGGAATACCACCCGCCAACCTTAACGGCGCTAATTCCACTTGTCCCGCACGTGCGGCGACTGCATGGACCAGGTTTCCTCCGGAGCTGTCGCCGATGAGAAAAACCCGGTTGAAATCTGCGCGGTAGTCGAGCCACGCCTCGCGTGACTCACCTCGAGCCAGCGAGCGGAGCCAGAGGAGAGCCGCGTAGCCGTCGTCGATGGCCGCAGGGAGCCGGTCTTCTGGCGCTAGGCGGAGATAGACGGAGACAACAATGGCTTGAGCCGAGTTGGCAAGCCGAGTGTATATGTGGTAGTACATGTACCAATCGGGTTGGCTAATGCAGAAGCCACCGCCATGAAAATGGAGCAGGACGGGAAGCTTGTGGTTTTGTCCGCGTGTATTCTCAGGCAGATAAATTCTTACTTTGAGACCAGAAGCGGCGTCGACTACAACGTCCCTGGTGGCTACTCCGTTAATGAATTGTTGATGGGGAGGGACAGAGTCGGCCATGAACTTGACCTCGGGTGGACCAGTCCATGTCCGGTCGACTGAGCCATCATCGTAGAGTCTTAGCCAACCGGAGACCTCGTCAACGAGCTTTTTATCGGCGGCCATGGTTGTTTGGTATGGTTGACGTACTGGTTTTGAATTGTAGTTTCTGGGGTGCGTTTAGTATACCCCTTGGTTGGTTTTTTATATAGGAAATGGAAGTGAGTGGGTTGGAAATTATACCGAAATTTCTGGTAAAAACATTAAAAAAAAAAAAAGGAATCTTATTATTTTTCCAAAAGAAATTGACTCACAATTAGTTGACCACTCATCATTAATATAATAATATATAATACTATAAGTAGCACATTGAAAAGAGCACGTCACCTTCTTAGAGATTAAATCTCGACTTCCCGGCATGGCGTGAAACACATGCAGAGCCAGACAGAAGTAGTTCGAACTCAAACTCCATATCAGGAAATAGTAGTTCACTGTACATGCGCATACGTACACGCATTCATACGCACACAGTCGTATGACGAGCAAAACCTTTTAACGTACTTGCAGAAATCTAGTTACGGTAAAGAGCTTGAATCTTGTATTCTGAAGTAGAACGGGGTGTAATCAGAAAGTTTCAGGTCAAGGAAGATAAGTGTGCGTGAGAAACAAAAGAGAAAGAGTGAATCATGTATGGATTAGGTTTAGGTTGTTAAATTTGTCTTCTTCATTAGAGGTTTAAAGGGTAGATTTCCATATCAGTTGAGCTTATTTTTTCAAGGCACGAAACATATAAGTCGAAATATGTAACTGTAGATACATACATACATATACATATATATATATATATGGTCAACCCATTTTTGTTCAGGTCAAGCTTAATATTCAAATCATACACTTTGGAATTGGAAGATGACTTCCACGGAGCCTTGTGGAATTTACAAAAGGTGTGTACGTTCAACTTGACAACCACTAACCCGTGTATATATATATATATATATATATATATATTATAGTTATTATTTAAATAATAATATATTTAGAGATAATTAGATATGTGTCACATCCCATAATCAAAAATATTAATTACTCTTAATAAATATTCTACGTACTGGTGCTATTATGGCTTAAACTGTGGTTAAATAGTGATTTTTGTCTCATTATAATGAGCCTCCCACATTTAAAACTAAGTCTATTTTTTTTCTATAAAAAAAAAAAAAAAACTTATTATATTTTTACTAATTTTATTATAATAATTTAAATATTTTGTAATTTCCATCACTTTTTTTTTTTAATCAAATTTAATCCATCTTCGAATTAAGAAAAAAAAAATATTTTATTATTTTTAACTTGAACTAAAGTTATTGGTGGATTTCTTTTTATTTCAAGCCCATTTTAAAAGGAAGCCCATTAAAATTAGAAAATAATTCTAATTCGATCAACTAAATAGTGTAATAAGTTATATATCGACCACATTCATATTTTATACAGTGCATTAGAAGTATCATAAATACATAATAAAATAATAAATTAGAAGGTAGCATTACATGCTTTAAAAAAAAAAAAGATTAAAGTGAACCCGTAAGAATTACGCTACTTGACAATATTAATAACGAATCTAGTGAAATAGTTAACAAGAAAAAGGAAATGTGTTTTCCATTGTGAATAATAGTAGATCGGTTTTAATATATTGATAAAAGACCTATTTTTTTCCATGACTGAAATCAAATAGAGGTCCGCAAAAAAACATGCCCATGGTAACAGGCGAAAAGAGGATCGAGCACGAAAGTATTCATAATATGTCATTTAATTACTTTAATTCTGTAATTTACCTTCTCACACAACTCAAAGTAGGAAAAAGATTCTATTTAAGTGATATCTTATCGATATTCGAAAAGACTATGCACCGCATAATTGGTTTATGAGAAAAAGATCTATTATCCCTTATCCTTTTCTTGATATATGATAGAAGGCTATATTATTTGATCTAATGAGCAGAAAGAGGTGGAAAACTGATGGCATTTGAAAAGTATTAAATACTTAAAAATGTCATATTTATTTTTTACAAATAACTTTCTCGTTATAATTTGTGCAAATAGAAAGTGAATGCTATAATAAGAGAAGTTTTTAAAACCTATGAAACGTGTTTATGTTAATGAATCAATTATGAAAAATTTTCTACAATGTTTAATAAAAATTATATTCGTCTACTGGATAGTAAATTTCAAGAAAAATCTTAAAATAATGACCACCATACACAAAGGTAGCCAAAGCCACCAAGGAATATGGGCAAAAACAATATGCAAATCTTTAGATAATTAACAATAAGTGTTGAAAAACAAACCAAAATGGGCGACTAAATGTGTATCAACGGCAAATAAAAGGTTTGATTAAAGCAGTGATTATACTTGTAAATATTTGGAACTTGAATGGAAATAAAGTTATAAATTAAATGCCGAAGCGAATGTAGAGTTAGGGTTTATATTCCTTACACAATAGTTTAGAATACCTAATAGGGTTATGAGAATGTCTTTTCTAAAAGACAATTGGTAATTAAAATAAAATGAATAAATAAATATTATAAAACTACATTTACTAGTACTTAAAGGGAGTCTGGGTGGTGAATTATTTCTATTACCATCTTACTGATCGG